AACAAGTAAATGAACATCTGAAAGCTCTATCAAGAAGCAAGCCGCATTTTTTTTTCTTTCGATTGAGATACTAAGAATTTTTTTTTGGTAATAATCATCAACCAAAAAAACTATTGCAGCAACAACATTTATAGCTTTCTGTTGTCTCCATTGCAAAACCAGAAAAAAAAAAAACACTGACGAGTCACAGGGTAAAAATCATCATGGCCTTGGACTATAAAACACACAGACTTGAGCCAGTCTCTTTCATGATTAATCCCAGCTTCCTGACCCTTCTGCATCGGGTTCCTTTTGTTTATTGGACAAAAACGTCAGAGTATTGTTTGGCTTCACCAATCACTATTCCCTCTTACAGTGTTTCTAGCTGACGTAAACGAGGCATTCATCTACACCATCGTTACAGCTATTTTTGGTTTTTTTTCTTTAAAAGCTTATCATCCACAGCTTTAAAATTAACCGCGGAAGAAAAAAAAATCACTTATGTATTTATTTCAAAAAATCACCTCTGCAGTTTTGTCCCCTCAACTGAAAAACCTATTTGCAGTATGCATTTCATTTTAAACACCAAAAATAAGACAGAACGAAGGAAAAAAGCCAACGTTTCTTATGCTTAATAAACCAAAATAATAAAAGTTATTCGCTGTCTTTGTCTAGCCACTGTCTAACCAATTGAACGTGCGAAATTTTTAAATTAAACTATTAAATGAGATTTTGGTATCTGGGCCTTAAAAGCAAACTTCAGACGACAGACATTTGCAAACCAATACTTAGTTGCCAAACAACACTGTGTACCAAAAGTTTTCCTACTCGAAGGCAAGTGTTCGATACGGATCCATAAAGAACAAAAAAAATTAGCAACACTGAACAGATTTCTCAACAGACTTCATGCATTTTCACGCCAATGTGCTCTTTTTTAAAAATTTATTGACCCATACAGACCCAAGCCTACAAAGAACTTACAAACAAAATTAACAAGGAGAAAAACAAGGCATCCGAAATGAGATCAAAGGTAATGTTTCATCTAATTAAACATTTTCATATCTTTACCCGCTATCACCCATGGTTTGACTTTTCGCTATTTATATTAAGCTTTTTGTTGATTTCTACTTAGTGTTTACGTTTTACTATCCAGCTCCTTCGGTATATGAAGATTTTGCACAGTTTTCAAAGCTTTTATCCAGTAGATTCAAAAATTTTTTTTTATAGAGCATTAGAAAATAATTTTAACATTGACAATGGAAAGGAAAGACCAGAAATGAGTTAGAGTTAAAATAAACAAACTTTTTGTATTTAAAACTTTTATCACGCTTTATGACTGTAAATAAATAAAACTGTAAATAAAGTTATAGGCACTGTAAATAAAATTATAGATTAAATTTGTTTACTCTTCTACAGCTTCTTTACTTTTCGACTAGTAAAAAGTTAATTGAAATTAAAAGTATTCTGAGACAAGTAAACATGAAATCAATGATACAGATACATATTGTATAGCTGGTCAAAGATAAAAAAACTTGAAAACGACAAGCTTATTTCTTCTCCTTTGCCTCACCCCTTACCCCCCTCTTCTTCTTCTTCTTTGTCTTCTATCTATGGTCTCTTTCAATCAGCAACAGCAACAATAGCATCACCATCACCACTATCAATACCATCACTACCATCATCACCAGCACCACCAACAGCATTATTCTTTCTTCCGTGCAACAACACATTGAGGGTAGACAAAACTAAGGGAACTGGTCTTTCTCCTAAGGGAACAGAGAAGAGGCCACGCTGTATGTAAAAATGTGGATCAAAATTGGCAGTCGAAGATTAGATGAAAAGGATTAAGTTGTAGCGTTACGAGTCGAAGAAAAAACAAAAAAGAAGAAAGAAGAAGACGATGACAAAGTGAGGAAAAAAAAATAAAGACAGGAGGAAATAACATTCGAATAATTGAAGTTTCAAAACAGAGCGAAACATAGAAAAAAATCATGCACTTTTTTATATGTTAAAGCTTCTAAATTTCTTTTCTTTCGTTTTTGTTTTCTTTTTTTTTTTTGACCTTTCACTTTTGTTCATATTTATAAAGCGACGTTTAAGGTTTCAGCTATTTTCATTTGTCTCTTTTTCTCTTTTTTTTTTATTTCTTTGAGAATTTTTATGTAAAAAAAAGACCTTTCTTTACAGTAACATTAATCAGAAGTAAACGGAAGACTGACTGTACAGCAAGCATCATTGTATAAGCTTCTTTTTGATGATCATCAAATTATCGTGTACAACAATTCATTAGCAGCTATCATCTTGCAAAAATTCCTGTTGTTGCCATTGAGTTTTAATACTATGTGACGACAGGTTAAAACAGCGGTGAAAAAAAAAAATAGAACTTATACGACAACCATTAATGCTTTGTATGTTTTAATCTGCTGTTCTTTTTTGCAGTTATTTTTTTTTCTTCTTCTTTCTTCTCCATTCTGCTTCGCTTTTTGCGAAGTAACAATTATAAAAAATTTGGTTATAATTATTTAAAAATGCTGAAAACTATGTATACGATTAAACTGCTATTATTTAAAGCTCAGTAAAACAATAATGCAGATACTTTAGGGTCAACAGTTGAGTAATGCACAAAAAACAGCAACAATAACAACAGCACAAAAGAAGGAAAGGGGGGAGGAGGGGAAGAAAAAAAAACGTTTAATCCTTCCTGGAACGTCGAAAATTGCATGTCGTCGTTGATGTATAGCA